TTCCTGAAAATGAGTTAGGCTAATCCTAATCCTTATAAGTATCTACAGTCTAAATTTTAAGTTTTCTATAAAATTATTCGAAATCATACTCAAATTTCTATTCAATAAAAAAAAATTCTTTTATTAATTATTTTGTCTATTATTACATGATTATTTTTAACTAATAATTTATCAGTCAATTTAACTTCTTTTAACTTTCAAAAATTGTACATAAAGTTTACCAAACTACTAAATTCCAAAACATGCATACAAAAATGATCGCTTTTGTACAATTTAATCCAATTTAATATCCCTAATTACAATTATATTTAAAAATTCTAATTTAAAGTATTACATTACAATGCGTTAATTCAAAAAATCGTTCATTATAAATATAAAAAAATTAATCTAGTGTTAAAATAAAATCGTTCTTGAAATTGGATCTACAATCAGTAATAAAGTCATTCACTCATTCACACATGCATTATCTATCATACTTGACAAATAAATTTAATAGTATTATAATTTAAGATTAAAATTGTAATTTACGATTATAGACAATTAATTTAGCTTTAAAATTTCAAAATGGAAGATAATCGAAAATATACCTAATCAGCTTAGTAACATCGTCTAATTAAAAAATCAACTTATTGCCTTAAACCATTTAGTTGAAGTGATGAATGAATTGGTTGTTTCTTCTTCTAGACTTCAGACTGCACATGACTGGTATCTTCTGTAAAATTTTTTGTTATCATTAATTAAATATTAATAAAAAAAAATAACTAAATTTAATGACTGTTATTTCTTACCTTGATAATTATTTTATTTCGTAGCAATATGTTAAGAAAAAGATCAAGATCAAGATTGAGATGAATCGTCTTGAATTTAAACATCAGATTGAAGATCCTCAGAAGTTCCTGGTCGATCACTATCATCAGTATCACGTTTTGTCATAATAGCTCTTTCATCCATATTTTCTTGACCGACATCAATCATCTCATCACTACTTTGTTGAAAATTAATATAATCATGATCACTGGAATCAGAGGGACCAGGAACGTTGCCAGGTGTAAAATGTAATCTACTATTATCAAGTGTTCTACGTTTACGAGGTGATAATGGATAAGGACTGTCAGAGCTCTCAGAAGTTGATAGTCGATTACTATTATCATCAGTATCGCTTTCTCTTATAGTAGCTCTTTCATCAATATTTTCTTCACCGACATCATCATCTTCTTGAGGGGAATTAATCATTGCATTACTACTTTTTTGAAAATTAATATTATCATAATCACCGTGACCAGAGGGACCAGTAACTTTGTCAGGTTCAGAACGTAATCCAGAATTATCACCTATTTTACGTTTACGAATAAGTGATAATTGCGCACGTGGGACAAAAGATTCATTGTCTTTAAGATTTTCTCGTTGATGATCACTATTATCGTTATCACGTTTTCTTGTAGTAGCTGTTTCATCCCAATTTTCTTCACTAGTACTATCGTCTTGAGCGACATTAATCATCTTACTATTGCTCTCTTGAAAATCAATAAAATCACTATCACTGAAATCAGAGGAACCAGAAACTATATTAGGATTTATTGGAGTATCAGGAGTTTTTGGAGTCCCGGGAGTTACTGGAGACTCGGGAGTTACAGAACTCTCAGGAGTTTCTGGAACCTCAAGATTTGCTGGTCGATCACTATCAGTATCACGTTCTCTTGTAGCAGCTGCTTCATTCCAACTTTCTTGACTGGTACTATCATCTTGAGCGACATTGATCATCTCACTATTGCTCTCTTGATTATCAATAAAATCACTATCATTTTGATCGGAGGGATCAGAAACGTTGTCATGAGAGCTACTGTAGTGTTCAATATTATCAAACGTTAAAATTTTAGAAGTCGGAGCGTGCTCAGGATTTACCAAAATACTAATAATATCATAGTTGTTAGATTTTCCGACATGTCTTGTAAAATTAACAAAATTTCTGAGATTGGGATCGTCATTATTAGGGAATGATTCAATTTTTGTTGCAGGGTGTGAATCGTACTTTATTAGAAGAGGAGCTTCAACGACCTGAAGAGTTTCTGGTCGATCTCTATTATCATCACGTTCTCTTGAAGCTCTTTCATTCCAACTTCCTTGAACGGCATTATCATCTTCAGCGGCATTGATTATATCATTTCTTCTCTTAGTATGAAGTGGTTGTTCAAGAAGAGATTCTTGATCACTTTTTTCTAGACTGTCATTACTAGTTGCTTGAGAGAATGAACTAATGGATTCATCACAAAGCAAGTCTTCAGATGAGTCTTGATTATCATTCCTAGTGGAAGGACCAGCATGTGAGTCCTGACTATTTTCATTTGTACTAGTAGATTTAAGGTCTTCAAGCTTAGAGTGTAATTGATTAGAGAATAAACTAACTGAATCTTTACAGTCATCAGAATTACCATTAGTATGTGCGTGCCCATTGATTATGCTTTCTGGAGTGTTAGGAACCTTGATTTCTTCTTGATCAGAACTCCCTGTTACTGAATCCACAGTATCTCTGCGATTGGAGGGTCCAGCAATGTTCTCAAGCCTAGAGCGTGATTCTCGACGGTTGGAAATTCTGGCACTTTGAGGTGGATGTTCAGGATGAGTTTCTGAAACAATATTTACATGATTAGTCTTTTTTTCTAGAATGTCATAAATTTCGCGCTTACCTTCACTAGAAGTCACTTCTCCTGAGTTCTGAATTTCTTCTTCATTACTTTTATTATCATGTTGAAAAAGATTAGGTTTTTCTTCACGAGATTTAGAATCTTCATTAAATTCAAGAGTAGCTTCTTCCGTACTACAACCTTCTGAAGATTCACGAGTAGCTTCTTCATTAATACTACCTTCTGGAGATTCACGAGTAGCTTCTTCATCGCTACCATCTTCTAACAAATAACGCGAAACCATTTTGTCAATTAAAACTGTACAATATTTCTTCTTTAAAAAATTTATGAATAAAAATATATCGAATGTACTGGCAAATTAATTAACACGAGGCAAATCCTTGAAATTCCGAATAGTACGTACAAATGCAACGTATGCCCTAGCGGATCGGTTTATGCTCAGTATACACCAAGTATACATAGTGTATACGTGTCGAATTCATCCAAAATATACGCCGCGTATATACACCGAAAATTTTTTTAAAGTCCCCGAGATTGAAATTTTTCCAAGTGTTGAATCGAAAAATTTTTTTTAATTTATCAATAACAATAGGCTAAAAACTGCCAGAAACCGATAAATTTATTGAAATTAAGGGACCATGTTCCAGTGTATGACTTATGCCCTGTTTACACCTTAAAAAAATTTCAAAGTCCCAGGGTTTAAAATTTTTTTTAAGTGTTGAATTATAAAAAATTTTTTTAATTTATAAATAATAATGGGCTACAAACTGCTAGAAACTGATAAATTAATTGAAATCAAGACATCATGTTCCAGTGTCCATGATGTAAGAAAGTAAAAATATTACACGGTGAGAAATTTCCAATGAATTTTACTATGCGCCCATAGTAAAATTCATTGGAAATTTCTCAGCGTGTAGAAATAAAGATGATCACTTTGTTTACTTAGTAAAATAAGTATTTTTGATTTTGTTCACTCTATAAATAATGACATTAATATAAATATATCATTCACAACAGACTTAATGACTAAATTTATATTATTTGTAGGTTAACTTGCACAGTACAGAATGTATTGAGACTACGCAAGGCGCCTGCGTAAGTCAACAAATATTCAGATTTTTGGACGATGTAAACAGTGAAGTTTTCAAACTAAAGAAAATACATGTTAAAATTATGCTACTTATCCAATTCAAGTTATTTTCAGTCCGTACAGATATACTTTTTTTTTATCCGAAAAAAATTACT